ACGGTAAAAGCGAAGCCGTTACGATTGATCGTCTCAAGGTTGCCCACGTGGAACCTGAGGTCGACGAAGACCCTTACTTGTCTTCTGACGAATCGACGCAGCCTATGATGGAAGACTCGACTGCTTCCAACATCCCTGACCCCAAGTTTCACGCTCCATCCAAGCCTTTCACTTCAGCTCCGCCGCTTCCCATCGAACCAACTGCCACGTCTTCAACTGTTCCTCCAATTTTGCGATTCGATGGGACGCCTAAGACGACGCCTTCCTCTGATTCGAATAAGTCGACTAGGTCGGATAGACGCGTTCATTGGCCAGCTCGATTAAGGGATTAGCGTTCCTTTCATTTTTCTTATTGCTTTTCTTTTCCCTTTTGGCCAACAACGTAACAAACCCCCCAAAAGCTTTTGAAAACGCCAAAAAACCGACAAAAGTTTTTTTGAAAACCTGAAAAGAACGCAAAATGTTCTGCTAACCCAAAAAAGAACAAAACGTTTTGAAAACACAAAAAGAGCTGCGTTTTGCATGACGCCTACCTCATCAGGTAAGTGTCACTCTTGCTTTTGCCCTCGCTTCCAACGTCACTGCTCTTGTTTCCGTTTATCTTTCATGTATGAACCAAAGGAGATGCCGAGTCTGAAGCGAATATTTGACCTTCACGAACTCGCGAACATTTAACGCGTACGAATTTCCCCCATTTTTGTTTTTGGCACCGTTAGGGGGGGACAGGGTTAGGAGCCCGCTAGGGTCCCATCGCCTGGTTCTCCCCCAGCAGCTGCATCAGGTTTCACTACCTGGTCTCGCAGAAGGCTGGTCCGCGACGGACAGTCCTCATGTAGATCGAACGGTCACCCACGGTTTCCGTTCTAGGAGGGGGCTGTGTAGCGACCTGGAGATTCCCCCGTATGACTGTGTAAACTATTCGAAACTATTCAACTTATAGCTTTCTTATGTATTAGGGAACTATTCGGTTTGCCTGTTGGAACGTTGTTCCCGTTTGTTGGATACACGAAAACGATCTCCGCCTTTGGCGTGCGGCTCGACTGCGAACGACGCTCCGAGTACGCTCTCGACGCCAACGACATTCTCCCTAGCTAGCTCTCTCCGGGTGCCCTATTTTTAGCCTTAGCTAACGCTCCTACCGTCCAATAAACGTTTCCCTAGCTTACTTTTGTGTCTTCTACCCAGTGCTTTTAGTTGGCCGTCTAGTCGCGTACCGGATATATGGCGCACAATCATTGCGCTATACATCCACGTTTTAGCACTATGCTTCCGAACCGCCTGCTAGTCACCAGTCCGCCGCTCTTGTGAATGTCCACATAACTCCACTTTGAACGCGGCGTCAGTACGTCATTATGTTATTACCATATACTGTTCACTAACATGCGTCCCCTCCGCACCCTAGCTTCCATTGCACTGCGTTCACCATTGCCCAAATGAGCACCTCGCCCAACATCTCGCCGGCGTGGCAACAACCGTACCCCGTCTGCTCAATCGTTGTGCCTTTAACACTTTCACGTAAGCTTCCCTAATGCAAGGATTACCTTTTCAGTCCTATAATGCTTGCCCGTGCTTCCGTGCTTTATATCCGAACCCACTTGCAACACCAATGGTATTCAAGTTTCACAACTACCCCCAAGTACGTCCTCCTGCTCCTGGTCAGTCCGCACTGATGACCACGTCCGCTTTCCCATACCTTAGTGAACGACCCACAGCCCTTTTTAGGGCCACCCTCTGTCCCATCCCCTTATGGTGCCTCAATACAAGCCCCTAGTGCTTACGCACCGGCTTGCATGCAATGCACCACTTGGCGGTTGGTTCAGTGGGTGGGTCCGTAATCGTCACCCAGATTCTCTACCGCCGTATTACATTGCACCTTCCTTACCAAATCACCTCGCTCTCCCTGGCCGCCATATGCTAAGCGGTTACAGTGCTGTTGGTACCTGATAACGTGCTTTTAACCATTCCCATCAACTGCTCTTTTTTAGATATTCATCCAGGGAACATTTATGTTGCCACATACGCAGCCTAACAGCTCACTTTGGGGAAACATCCGTGTAACATGATTACGTAAGTTTTCTTTCTGTGAAGCGCACACGTATTTCTTTCCCATGTTAATTCGTCACTCCATTTACCATTCACTGTTCCTCATTGCTTGCACGTTGTGGGACAAGAGCGCGGAAACCGCTCCCCATAATGTCATGAATATTTGGAATCTGTAAAGACGTCCGCGTTGCATTTCATGCCATATATCAGAGATTATGAGGCCGAAGGGATGTGAACAGTTCGTATTCCATGATCCACAACATCATCTTCCGTGTCACACGCGTATACCTTGCATCCATATCATTTGCAACCGACATTCCATCCATGCTTCTTGAACCACCACCTTAGCTCAAGTCAGTGGCTTCCATCTTAGGGATGCTAACATCCGATATCACATGTATATTCACTTAGTCGATATTCATGGCGGTGGTGTGCAATATCTATGGTGCATACTTTGACAGTAGCCATTCTTATAACACCGGCGTAGAACCTACCTACGCCCCTCAGCAAGACATGTGGAGGCAACTGCTGTTGCTTCCATCGGATCAGTGGCACCTGCCAAAGCACTTACATGGAAAGAGTAAACAACGTTCATGGAGTTGCGTGACGTTCTACGTACGCTTCATTACCGACCGTAATGATGACACCCATGTGCCGTCAGGCTGGGCTCAATAAACGCCGGCCCACAACGTCTGTGCAGACAACCATATACCCTACCCTTGTACCCATAATGAAACAGATGATATGGGACAAATAGAGGATAACCACGATTAGGTATACAAGGCATGTGCACCCAATATTTGAACCTCACCTAGTGGTACTACTGATGCCAATAGCTTGGAACATACATGGTCTAAGTAACCACCGTTGATGGAGGGTGGTACAGTTACCGGCGTTATAAACGTTTCTCCGTTGCACATACATAGGCTCAAGTTAGTGACGCCTAAATAGCTACCACTTATTTTGCGAGCATGCGTCCTCTCTTATGCCATCTATAATACTTCTCCGCGCAACAGTCATGCGCGCGAGGTGACAAAGGGAGTACTCTTCAGTGCCGACAAGCACGCCACATCTGTGGCAATTACATACGCTTACTACGCATGGCCCGCATTACTTCGCCCGCAATTCCGTGGATGGGTCCTGTAGCGGCCAAAAAGATAACTCTTATCTTTCATGTACAATTTAATTGTTGACCGATTGTACCTTATTCCTTCTTGTTTTAATCGTCCTTACAACCGGCTCCACACAACTGCCTTGCAAGTTCCTGCGCTCACGTGTACGCTCTTGCCACGCTTCATCCGTCCGCTTCTTGTTGTAGCCCCATCGAATACAGTCCGCTGTGTCCGACTCCAATTGCCTTCTGATATCCGCGCATAGTCTCGGACTATTATTAACTAGTCCTATAAATTGGTGACCCCGATTCGCAAGCGCGAATTCAACTTTTTTTCTCGTTTGTATTTTTTTGGTGAGTTCGTTCCTTGTTCTCGATTATATACCTATATCCCTTTGTTTCTTGCGTAATTTTATTACTTTTATCGTATTTTGTTCATTCTTTATCTTTCGACTCACATTTCGAGAGTGGCATCCGAGTCGTCCCACAGCGTAACCATGCTTACTTTGGCTGTTCCAAGTTTCATGGAACACAGTCCAGAAGTTTGGTTTAAGATATTCGAGATCGAACTAGAAAATAAGGGCATAACGGCGGACAGTCCATGGTACAATCAGCTCGTCCCACGCCTTCCTCCGTCGGTAGTGACGCTGGTTGAGGACATTCTACTCTGCCCATCGAATGAAGCAAAGTATGAAACGATGAAGCAAGCGATTTTGAAAGAGTTAAGGCCCAGCGCACGAACCCGATTTGAGCAGCTCAATGGTCTCACGCTTGGAGATCGCAAGCCGTGGTATTGCTCCGCGAACTTCAGCGCATCGCTGGTCCCTTATTCTTGAGCGAAGAAGGGATAAAGGAGCTGTGGTTTGCACGTCTCCCGGAGCCATTGCCGGTAAAGCTGTCCATGTTTATAGATACACCCATGACAGACTTAGCTACCAAGGCAGACGCTGCGTTCGAACGTTTTCCGCAGCAGACGACCAGTAACTCCGTTGACGTATTCTCACCGATGAAAACCGAATCTCATGTTTGTTCCCAATCGCTAGACCGACCTGACTCTAAAGACGAGGAAATTGCGCTACTCCGCAGCAGGATGGCAGCAGTGAAGGCTTCAAAGCAGCGTGTGCCACGGTCAAATGCTGGCCACGTTTTGGCTACCGTTCATTGTGGTTCGTCTGTGCCTGCACCGAGTACGTCACGTTCGGCACGAAAGCGCAACAGTTTCCTTACAAGTTCTCAGTCAGATGACGACAAACCCGTCGACGTGGTATGTTGGTATCACCGCCAATACGGTGGAAGAGCTAGACGTTGTCGTGCTCCCTGCATTAGGCACGACCCATGGAAAACGAATAGCTCGCACACTGGCACGACAAACGTATCATTCAATAACCAAGCAAACCGACTGTTTCACGTTAAGGATCGACGTCCTTCCATCACCTTCCTCATCGACACGGGAGCGGAAGTCAGCGTCATCCCAACGACCGCAAGCGACAAGCACTCGAAGAGTACGTACAATTTGCGTGCGGCCAACGGTTCTCTGATAGCTTCATTCGGTCAGCGCATGATGAACCTAGACCTCAATCTTCGCCGAGATTTTCAGTGGGTCTTCGTGGTTGCGTCTGTACCCTTCGCAATTATCGGTATCGACTTCCTCCGACATTTTGGGTTGCTTGTTGATGCTGGTCGCCACAGACTTTTAGACGATCGTACGAAACTAGGTGTTGATGATGTCCTTTCAGATGCCCCGATAATCAGCCCTGTATTTCGGATCGCAGACGCACCGTCCGACTACTTGAGCCTCCTCTCCGAACACCCGCGACTGGTTCGACCGGCTGCAGAGCTTCCACCAGTCACGACAGAGGTCGCTCGCCACATAGTTACGCGCGGTCAACCAGTTAGCGCACGACCAAGACGGCTTGCTCCTGACAAACTACGGGCAGCACGAGCCGCATTTGACCACATGCTTCAACTTGGTATCGTCAGACCGTCCAACAACCCATGGGCGTCGCCTCTGCACATGGTCCCGAAGAAGGTCATGGGTGACTGGCGTCCTTGCGGCGACTACCGATCCTTGAATACGGTGACCACGCCCGATCGCTATCCGATCCCACACATAGTGGATCTCACCGCCAGTCTGGCAGGTAAAAGTATCTTCAGCAAAATCGACTTGGTACGCGCATACAACCAAATTCCGGTAGCCGAAGCGGACATCGCTAAAACTGCCGTGACGACTCCATTTGGTTTGTTCGAGTTTCTGCGCATGCCATTTGGTCTAAGGAATGCCGCGCAAACTTTTCAGCGTTTCATCGACCAAGTTTGTCGCGGCTTAGACTTCGCTTACGCGTATCTCGATGACATTTTAATCGCAAGCTCTTCACGAGAAGAGCACATGCGCCACGTACGAACACTTTTTGATCGTTTATCTCAACACGGGGTGACGATCAACGCAGAAAAGTGTTCGTTTGGTGTCGATTCAGTCAATTTCCTGGGCCATCGTATCTCTTCTGCAGGCGTCGTGCCACTGCAGGATAAAATTCAAGCCATCATCGACTACCCCGAGCCTCATTCTTTCAAACAGCTCAGGCGTTTTGATGGCCTTGTCAACTTTTACCGTCGATTTATACCCAACTGCGCCTCGCTGATGCAACCCCTCACGGACCTTCTCCGAGGGAAACTCAAGAAATTCGAATTTCCTGCCGCAGCACGCGCTGCTTTTAAGTCGCTGAAAGAGGCTATCGCCAACATAGCTTCTATAGCGCATCACGATCCGGCCGCCCCACTGTCCCTCAGTACTGACGCCTCGGACGTGGCAGTCGGCGCTGTTTTGCAGCAACGAGTAGCCGACACGTGGCAGCCCTTAGCGTTTTTCTCCAAACGCCTACAACCTACCGAATCTCGCTACAGCACGTTCGGTAGAGAACTACTAGCCGTATATCTAGCGATACGTCACTTTCGACACGTCCTAGAAGGCCGCTCCTTTGTCGTCTTCACCGACCACAAACCCCTGACTTACGTGCTCGGCTCGACTACCGACCGATACTCTCCTAGAGAGTCGCGCCACCTTGACTATATCGCTCAGTTTACGACCGATATACGGCATGTCTCAGGTGTGCACAACGCCGTCGCCGATGCACTTTCCCGCATCCAAGCTATCTCCGCTGACGCCGGCACTGCTATCGACTTGGCAGCCATGGCCACAGCACAACTCAACGATCCTGAGGTTGATCTACTACGCAGGTCTCCCTCATTGGATATACGACCCGTTCCGCTGACATCATCAGACGGAACGATACTCTGCGATTTATCTCTGGGCACGCCGCGCCCAGTCGTCCCACGCGAGTTTCGGCAGACCGTGTTCGACGCGTTGCACGGCTTGTCTCATCCAGGCGTTCGTGCATCGGTTAAACTCGTAACCGCACGATTCGTTTGGCGCAATGTTAATCGGGACGTCCGTACCTGGGCAGCTGCTTGCCTTCCGTGTCAACGCGCGAAGGTGCACAAGCACACGAGAAGCCCATTAGGCACGTTTCCGACGCCAGACGCACGTTTTCATCACGTGCACGTCGACCTCGTAGGTCCTCTGCCGCCTTCCAAAGGCTCTGTATATCTACTGACCTGCATCGATCGATTTACTAGATGGCCTGAGGCCGTCCCTATCCCAAATTGCTCCTCGGAAACAGTAGCGAAAGCTTTTATGGAGCGCTGGGTAGCTCAATACGGCTGTCCCGCCATCGTGACCACCGATCGAGGGTCACATTTCTCGTCGACATTTGCCACGTTGCTTAAGGATTTAGGCTGTCGCCACTTCCAGACGACAGCGTATCATCCGGCCGCTAACGGCATGGTGGAGCGTTTTCACCGCCAGTTGAAGGCAGCGCTACGTGCGCACGCAGATCCTTCATGGTCTGAAACGCTTCCCCTCGTTCTCCTAGGCTTAAGAAACACGGTTAAGACCGACTTCGACGCCACACCAGCGCAGCTAGTCTACGGTTGCACGCTGCGGTTGCCCGGACAGCTGGTAGCACCAGCCCCATGTACTTCCACTTTTGACTACGGAAGTTACACTGATCGATTGGCTCACCAGATGCGTGAGCTACGTCCACCCGCTCCTCGATCGCAGAAGATACCAGAGTACGTGCCCGAGAAGCTGTCTACGTGTTCACACGTCCTTCTTCGCGCAGACGGTGTTCGACAGCCTCTTCAGTCGCCGTACATAGGACCCCTCAAGGTGCTACATCGTGCGAGTAAGGCGTACACTATTGACCGCGGTGGTCGACACGAAGTCGTCACCATCGACCGTCTAAAACCCGCCTTTATGGAAGAAAACCCCTCGCCTACTTCGTCTAGTAGTGCTTCGTGCGACGTCACAACTCATCGCACCAGCTTACGGCATCCTAGTCCAGTTCAACCAGACCACGATCTCGGTCTACAAGCCGTCCCAACATCTCCCGAATCTAGCCCGCCGCCTCCCACGACCAATCGCCGTGGTCGGGAGGTGCGTAAGCCCGTCCGTTTCTCCGACTATGTACAGTGTAAATATTTTAGCTTTGTAGATATTGTATATATTTGCCCCGTTTTTGGTCGATCAACGTTTTGAAAACAAACAAAAATATCAAAAAACCTCCGAAAAACCTTACTCGAAAAAAATATTCAAAAAACAAAAGATATTTAAACACGCAGATCATTCGTTTGTTCTTTTTGGCGTTTTTTGCGCGTTTTCCTATTTTCTCGTCTCTACATGCCCCAACCCTCCCCTTCGATCGACTGGCCCACACGAGGAATGTTTTCGAGGACCCCGACGCGAACACTTGTCGTTTCTCCGCGGGACTAGTGTCGTTTCTTCGCGGGACGAACGTCACTTCTTCGCGGGACATATGTCGCTTCTCCGAGGGACGAGGACCGCTTCTTTGCAGGACGAGGATTGCTTCTTCGCGAGACGAGTGTCGTTACTACGTGGGAGCAGGGTTGTTTTGGCGCGGGGCGTGGTGCGGCGGGGGGAGAGACCACTCCCAAGCGCACCGTTTGGCAACAGCGGAGGTTGAGGTCCAGTCGGCCTTCTTCTGGGCTAGCCAGATATTTTTGTGGTCCGACAATCCCGCTCCAAAGGCGCGCCGAAATGCACCCTGCCCTGCATTCAATAAATAACAAATCATAAACGGCACAGCGGACTCCGACTTCCGACGAACCCCCATTTACACGAACGCACGCCCATGTTTACTCGAAACGATTTCGCCTTACGAACCCCGTTTCAACATTCCTTTTAGATTTAGAAGGCTTTCCATGTTCAGCCTTCTAGGGGGAGCTCTGTAGCGCCCAAAAAGATAACTCTTATCTTTTATGTACAATTTAATTGTTGACCGATTGTACCTTATTCCTTCTTGTTTTAATCGTCCTTACAACCGGCTCCACACAACTGCCTTGTAAGTTCTCGCGCTCACGTGTACGCTCTTGCCTCGCTTCATCCGTCCGCTTCTTGTTGTAGCCCCATCGAATACAGTCCGCTGTGTCCGACTCCAATTGCCTTCTGATATCCGCGCATAGACTAGGACTAGTATTAGCTAGTCCTATAGTCGGTAATCCTATACCAGATTCTCTACTCCTATGCTACTCCTCCGGTTCTGCAGCATAGCCATTCTATGACGTAAACGAAAAACTCCATTCATTTCTTAGCGTTGTCCCTTTAAAAGCTATGAGAATTCGAACACTCACCGACCCCATGACAAGTCCAGCGTGGATAGCTGGACATGTTTTGCGAGCCGAGCAAGAATATAATATAAGAGCCGGCCTCTATTAACAATGTGTTTACTCGCGTGCATCATTATCATTCGACTCTTCGAATCTTGCATCATTGAGCGGCTTCAACGACTGCTACCGTATCAGTACTAAGCCATTCGGCCAACCAACGAAGGATTTTGGCTGTCAGCCGACTGCGAATAATAGAGTGCAAAATCGGTCTATACGATGCATAACCGACTTGCACTACTGTTCAACGAAAGCTACGGCAGTGTTGCAGGACGTGGTGGGTTTTCGCCTGGCAAGCGTTCTCCCTATAAAAAGCCACAGATGTCCGCTTAACAACACTGCAACGCGGCGGATGTGACTCGCCACAAAATAAAGTCACAGCTAAGCATTTCACATTGACGCAGTCCTCAGCCTTCTACATCGAACCGGTGCAACTAATTCTGCTATGAAGAATGCTTCGTTGGAGCACAGATCATCTCTATCTCGTAATGGTTATTGGTTGCAACAAAACCTTGTTTAGGCTCCTGTGCTCACGAATCACTACCTGGCGAAATTACCCCCAACTTGTGTTTTGACGGATTTTTGCGCGCCACAGCGCCATAATGTCCCTGGGTCTGACTATTACCTGACAGTATGCTCACTCATACGTACAACCTCTTTTTTATAACTTTCATTAAAACGAAATGTTTTAACATTCCACAGAAGTTATGCTTGTATGCATATTTGATCACGCCTTTACAGGTGTGTCTCGTTTTACCGAGAACATACTATTTATTTATTTATTTATTTATTTAACTCAGACTACAGCGGTGCCATTTGGTTATGTTGCCGGTTCTCAATACCAAACTACCGCCCCAGTAACGCATACGTCTCCCTTTGCTGTGAACCTTTCTCGTCATGCGCAATGCTTCCTATGCCATTACATTCAGCAACGGAACATTGTTATACGCCCGCCTGGTTTCTTCCTTAACTTACCCGTGGTGTTGCAAGCGCTTATTTTTCGACCCATAGAACTTCACCACACCGCGTTAGTGAGTGTGATAATAGGTCTGCCAATGCTATATACACAATTCGCTCACTTTAACAATGCGCGTACATTATCCTACAAATTAGCACCGATTTCATTATTCGGTATTCCTCAAGTGTGTCAACGTGAGCACATTTACGCTGACATACAATACATGCTTACCTGCTCATTAACTTTTAGAAAGGTTCAATGCTTGTTGCTCACCCGAACTCAGTATGCTGGCCTACATCGCAGTTCACAAGTGCAGGTAGCAACAATCATGGCCATAGCCTGTTCCTGTGCTCCATGCTGATTACCAGCGCTGACATTCCACGGACGAACCAGGCCTCCACACATAAGAAATAAACCGTTACCGATCGAGGAACGCGTTATGACCTTTCCCCACGTAAGCCATAATTGAAAACATTCATATGCACTCCATTAATAAAACAAGGTTAAATATATATACATGTGTTATCATGCATTGCTATATAAATATATATAATATAGGTGTATGTAGATATATTTTTTCACTTTTTGTCTGGGGGCAAATACTTATGTTCATAGTATATTGCGCCATTTTTCCTCATTTCTATTATCATACTAGGTATGATATAAATAAATGACAAATTATCTCTACCGTTCGGACGACATGCATATATCCATACTACCTGGGTAATATGGTATTTCATTTTTCACTGCAAACTTGACCCTCCAATTAGTCATCTACCGTTGTGTCAAAAAGCGTTGCCCATCGTGACCCGGTGGCCAAAGGGGTAGTAGTGTTGGCTGCTATTCCAATGGTCCTGGGTTCAAATCCTGCTGTCTCCACCTGATGAGATGAAAATTACATCGAAACGCGTCGTGGCTGTGCAGTGTTTTCGGGTGGGCAATACCCAATATCCATCTACTTTGAATACGGTCCCAGCGATCGCAGTGACTAAGGTTCATTTCCATGTGAATCACAGTCCATTAAATTGAGGTTGCGTGTCGCAATCCAATCACACAACGTGTAATCCAAACTTGACCCTCCAATTAGTCATCTACCGTTGTGACAAAAAGCGTTGCCCATCGTGACCCGGTAGCCAAAGGGGTAGTAGTGTTGGCTGCTATTCCAATGGTCCTGGGTTCAAATCCTGCTGTCTCCACCTGATGAGATGAAAATTACATCGAAACGCGTCGTGGCTGTGCAGTGTTTTCGGGTGGGCAATACCCAATATCCATCTACTGTGAATACGGTCCCAGCGATCGCAGTGACTAAGGTTCATTCCTATGTGAACCACAGTCCATTAAAATTGAGGTTGCGTGTCGCAATCTAATCACACAACGTGTAAGCCAAACTTGACCCTCCAAGGTTAAATATATATACATGTGTTATCATGCATTGCCATATCAATATATATATAGGTGTATGTAGATATATTTTTTCACTTTTTGTCTGGGGGCAAATACTTATGTTCATAGTATATTGCGCCATTTTTCCTCATTTCTATTATCATACTAGGTATGATATAAATAAATGACAAATTATCTCTACCATTCGGACGACATGCATATATCCATACTACCTGGGAATATGGTATTTCATTTTTCACTGCAATTTAACCTTACTTCACATAATGCTACCTCTTATACATTATATATCACGCTATTTGTATACATCATTCCGCTTGCACCCCTTTGCTCAATATCCCGGATGAATGGCCCGCACATTATTAGTTCACAGTAATTTCCACGTCAATATTTTGCAAACACTTTAACAACGTACACAACTGTACACTTCTTTTCAGTTAATATTACCCGTTTCCCTTTTTTAGCACGTAATTTATGCAGATCATTATTTCATCATCTTTAGTTCTTATACGGAATTTACAACTTCATCCATTTCATTGCATACTTCACAATATAATGCTTTCACGATCTCATTCCCGGCTTACATTCAACAACCCTACCATTCACCTTTAATATTTCTGCCTGCTTTTATTTATTGCACGTTGCTTATTCCCTCATTCCTCTGTTGCAGCAAATGAGATTTCATAAGAATTCTGCACCAACGAACAAATGCCACACGGTAAGTCTAACTTATACCTTTTCCACATCATTTCAGCAGACTTTAATTCACTGTATAATGGAAATACGTTTACGTTTATAAGAGGACTAAGATATGTCAAGATTCATGACACCATTGAAACACCAGTAATTCGCTGCGAGTGTGGCTAATTTTTGACATGAAAAATGGGCCTGGAGGGACTTTGTGTTCCGGTACCCCAGGCTATGTGGTAATGCTTTCATAACTGGATTTGAAAGAGACGTGTATAGATCGCTTTATATTTAAGTACGTGCAGCAAATGGTAGTTGGTAAGATATATTAGTTGTAAATTTCGCATTCATTCGTCGCGCTTTTAAAAAATACAATAAATACAATAACCAGGCAACAGATACGTTTATCTCTTATCCATGCAAGTAACTTACTCCAAGTATAAACTTTACATAAAGGAAACAATTGTATTAACACTTATTTGCTCCATAAAACAGCCGATTACACTACATTTTCATTTAGCATTTGCCTGCTTTCCATTATACCGTAAACTTCAACTACGCCTGTAGCCAGCACTTTAATTTATCTTAACCGTTTTCACGAAGCAAATCCACGTAGCATTATTTTCTATTTCCCCGCACCTTAATATCACCAAAATCAAGAACGTACACTGCAGACATTCAAACAAACTTGGATGTAACGGAGGATAACGGTAGCGAAACTTTTCCCGCCGTGACAAAAATTAGCCCTTCCCATTCGCAGCAATTACTCATTTTGGAATTTCGGGGCACAGGTTACCATGGATACGGTAAACTACCTCACTACAGAACTTAGGTTACTTTACC